GCTTCTCATCTTTGAAGGGTTTCAAGATAGAAAAGGACTTTTAAAAGTTTTATAAGTTTTGCATTACAGAACTAAGGTCTGGGTGTGGTGTGAGGAATTACACAGTAATTTTACTTTATTCCTTAATACCTGTAATCCAGTAGTTCAATTTCTGTTTCTGTGGTTTACTTAGGAGTGAGAAGGAGATGGTGTTCTGTCACCTTGCAGTTGGTTGGTGTTCTCCATTCTGTCTGTTACGTCCTTTGCAGTGCCCTGGAGTTTGACTGGTTTTTGTAATACTGAGCATGTTTTCAATACAAAATATGTAAATAATACCAGTAGATGGAGGGAAGTGAAGGAATATGAAATTCTGGAAACAAAACCGTTCCTAAAGTTTGTACAAATCCCATATTTACTTCAGCCATTCTATACTGATCTCATCTTGATGCATTGGGCTTCTGAAAGCATGTGTGGGCCTTTTGGGGGAAAGGGGTTGGGAGGGTGGGACAGGGGAGCTTACTAGACCTACTGGTGTCCCGCAGTGCTTTATTCCTCACAAACTTATTAAATGTACCAGGAGAAAGGAGATATCTTTGTGGATTCACTCATGTGAATTGAACTTAGTTTATGCTCAACTCAAACTAGTTGGTAACAGTTGAAAAGTCAGTGAACCAAGGCATTTCTTAATCAGGCAATCCTTAGGCTAACTGAAGTAACACTCAAATATCATAGCGATTCATTCGTTCTCAGGATGAACTGTGCATTCTTTATGTTAATCAAATTACTTTATAAACTGGTGGAAAACTGATTTTGGCAAGGCTTGACAGCCTAAGGTTTCTTTTTTTATATGGAAAGTATTGTAATATTACCAACTTATAAAACTGACAACTATTTGAAGATTCAGAAAACGTTTTTGGCGATTCCTCGAGGGAGCTTTATTTGGTTCAACTTTTTCAATTTGTTTTCAGTCCATTGCTTTTCAAAGTACTTCCAGAATGCAGCAAAAATTACTGTTCATTTATATTGCTGTATGTCAAAGTGATACTTAGGAAAATATTCTCAGAAGTGGGGAATATCCAGTACAAAAGTGATGGATAATTCCAATCCTCCAATTCTTACAATTTGTCTGTTGTAAATACACTGAGTTATGAGAAGCATTCTTCAGAAAGATTATTGCCTCTTCAGTGAACACTCGTGGGACTATAAAATAACTGATCAGCTGTGAGACAGCAAGTGAAAGTGAGTGTTCTTGGTTTATATATATAATTAGATATCTTGATGATTGGACTGTAGGCATTTGTTTTCCCAAACTGCAGCCCCATTTGTTTTCTTCTCAAGAAAAGGCCTGTGCATGATGATTTCTTTCTGTTTTTCCATGTCCTGAAGGCAGGCAAAATTTGGGCGTATCTTGGCTATACCTACACTGTTGAAGATATTTGCCCCGTAGGGTAATCTCTGCCTTTACGCGGGGTAAGGTTAACATCTCTGGAGTGGGCACATCCGTGTTAGAGACACTACCACATCCAAGAGTCCAGGACTCCTCTGGATGCCACGTGTGCCCCTGGGACAGGCTTGCACCTGATTAACAGACTAGGCTGCCTGAATTCCCACTAGTTTGTTTTATTCAGCATGCTGTTGTAAACAAAACAGGGAACGCATCTTTGATGCAGAGCCAACAATTCATTGTTAGGCTAATTAAAATCTTAAAGGTCTAATCAAAGACAGTATTAGTCCAGATACTAACACAGGTCAAATTATGTATGATGGCGATAATACAGGTACAAGCTCTAGTACCAAACCCTTTCTCTGGTGTTATCTTTGCCCACCTGCTCTTGCTCTGGGACTTGACTGGCTTCAACTGGAAAGGGAAAGTCTTTACAGCAAGTCATCATCATCCCAAAATCTCCTCTGGCGGGAGGACAGTGGTGGTTTCTTCCTCCTTTTCTTGGGTCCATTTGGATCAGTTTTACATACATATTAACACACTGTGCACCTTGCTCTTTGTTCTGCTCTGCATCCTGTTGATGACCAGGAGTTGAGCACAGGGGAGCTGTTGGAGTTTAGGGGCCCAGTATTGTCCTGCTTTTGTGCTCTCAGGCCCCTGCATCACCCCGTGGCTGTATTCTTCTACGCTACATTTTTGCAAGATGGGCCGCTCTTCACAGAATAACTAGTTGTTATTTCTGTCTGTTATTTAGAAACATTCATGTAACACTAGGTGTTACAGAGTTGTACAAAGCCAAGCAACAAACTAAAACAAATGAGATGAGTTCCCTGGTGGTTAACTAGTTTCGTTGCAGCTAAATAAGCTATGGCAAAATTCCAGGCACCCAAGGTGAGTTCAGACAGTGTCTGACAAGTTTAGTGGCCCATGTTGGTAGCTGGACATGAAGCCTTTGGCTTCAATGACACACTTTGTGTAGGTTACAAATGCAGCTACTGTTTAAATGTTATTTGAGTCAGGAGGGCTGTAATAATATGAGGACTGTGTTACACCCCTCCAGAGTACTATTTTTATATTTTAAACTAATTTTATTATTTTAATATAAATATATTAATTTATATTTTATTTTACATTTTGTGCATCTCCCTGAGATTCTGTCCTGTGGAGATAGAACTGATGCAGTCTTGCCTGTGCACCCTGTAGAGAAAAGGTTGTGCCCAAAATTATGCCTGTGTTTGAGCGTGGGCTTTGTTTGTCCTTCAAGGAGCAAAATAACATACGTTCTGTGCAGATGTTTGTGGAAGCAGGGCTTAGGAGTGGAGCTGTCTGGGAGTAGGGATGCACCCTGGTATTACATGGTCTCAGTTTTGCACTCATGAACATATCTGAGGGTCTTCATTACACTTAAAGACAATTAATAGAATTATAGTTAGGTATATACCTTTGAAGTGTCTTTCATAACTGCATTTTTTCAGAAGAAAAAAGAACTGTCATTACTGATCGTTTGAATGTTCGCAGTAATGGATACCTTCCAGCATGTGTTCAGCATTCTCTAGGGCAAGTGATCTCAAGCATAGCATGTCTTTTTTCTGGGCTTTGCAGTGCAATTTTAGTTTTCATCAGGATCCTCTCTGACATAAGTTTTAGGCATGTAATTTATTTGGACCACTTTGAAAATATTTACATGCTTAAAAAACCATTATTTTGGAAAGTTACTCCATAAGGAGAGACCAACTCTTGCAAATAATTCAGTATTAATTTCCCAGCACCTTCCCCGTTTAGAAATCTGTTGGGATATTTATTCCTCTAATTCCATTTGTGTACATTATGAGGGTAAGTGGATTCCAGTCACTGGAGACAGAGTGAAGTGGGCCAGAAAGCTTGAATTTGTAATGACACCTGTCTTAGCATCTGACACTTCTGTTCTCCTAGGCTATGCACTTCTGCCTGTATAGACAGTGGGATAGAAGGCCAAGAGGAATGTTAAGTTTATTTTATTGGGAAATAATGTAGTGAAAAATTTGCAACTCATTTACAGGTATGCTGTATGCCCCACAGTGTAGAAGAGTTTTGATTGAAAGCAGCTCAATTTTTTGTATGTAGTTTGCTTTACCATTTAGAAATGAGCTAGGAGCTTCTGTCATTCAACAGGCAGAACTGATGGGCTCTGATGCAACTCCTGTTTATTCACCCATTAGAGGCTTGTAGCTGGATTGAAGGGAGATAGAAAAATAAGCTGGAGGGCCATGACGAGTGGTAAGAGCCAAAAGACATGGGAGGCTGAGCATAGTCAGTAAATTTCTTAAACTGATGAGAAAATTCTCCTGGTTGAGAAGGTGAGGAAAATTTTGGATATATTTACTCCATTATATTCACAGGAAGTATCTCCAAAAATGCAAAAAGAGGTGATTCTACCTTTGAAATTAGTTTACATCAGAAGACAGGCTGCAAGAGCAGCTCTTCTCAGTTTATACCTGCTGCAGATATTGTGTTTACCGCATACCAGCGGTGTGGTCTCTCTTATCAGATATAAAGACCCCAAAAGGCTATATTTGCATTTTCCTATAAAGCACATGACACACTTATGTGCTCCTGCCAGTTCTTGAAGGCACAAAACACTTGATGTTGTAGGGTGTGAGAGTGTTTCCTATGGCAAAGACTGTGATACACAGGTACAGTCTCCTTAGTGGTTAGGGACAGAATGTACTCCAGACAAATGGGACAACTGGTTTTCAAGCCCAATTATCACTAGAGTATCAGAAATTGTGATATGGAACATTTAGTCAAATTCTATGAATATCTCAGTTCTTGTCACCTGAGTACGTAAATTGTTAATTTATTTGGTTAAAACTTTTAAAAAATATTTTAAAATTATTTTCCTGAACAGTGTCAAGCTTTCACTTGTCTTCTGTTTTGTTTTCCAAAGGCTTCTCTTCCCCTCTCTCTAACCTGGGAGAAATTTCTTACTCTAGATTCAGCTGTGTTAATTTTCTGATTTCTCTTTTGAGGATGAAGTGCCTCAAACTATGGAGTGTAATACTAGTAGCATTCCTAGAGTGGTGTCTGTCACATTTAATATAAATAATACAATCACAGAATGGTTTGGGTTGGAAGGGACCTTAAAGACCACCTAGTTCCAACCCCCATGCCATGGGCAGGGACACCTTCCACCAGACCAGGTTGCTTAAAGCCTCATCCAGCCTGGCCTTGAACACTTCCAGGGATGGGGCATCCACAGCTTCTCTGGGCAACCTGTTCCAGTGGCTCACCACCCTCTCCAGGAAGAATTTCTTCCTGATATCCAATCTAAACCTCCCTGCTTTCAGTTTAAACCTGTTACCCCTTGTCTTGTCACCATGGGCCCTTGTAAGAAGTCCCCCCCCCAGCTTGCTTGTAGGCCCCAAATAATAATAAGGCTAATGTAGCGCAGGACATAGCATAAGGTTATAGGAAGCATGAATAATTTCACAGGGTTTTTTACCTTTCTTAACTAAACAGCAAAACCATTCTCACCTTTTTTTCTTTAAATTGTTGCAGAAAAAATGCGTTCCGAATGATAACTACTGCTTGCTGAACTGAACTGCAAAGATCTCATGCTTTGGAGATGGAGATGATAAATCCAAGGAAATAATCCATCTGCTGCCATTGTGACATCTGAAAGGTCTTTTGTGTCAAAATGAACAGTCTTTGAGAAAAATCTGGAAAGCAGTTAAATCTGAAAAATGGGAGAAAGAGTAAGGAGCCCGGATTCTCAACAGGATAGGAAATCAGATGGGGATAAAAATAGTGACTCCTATTATTCAGATGAAGATAATTCATCTCATTCATCTGGCCAGTCGCCAACACTAAGCTGTCCATCTACGAGCCAAGAAAAAAGATATCCCAAAACGCAAACTTCAAACAGCCTTGTGCACTACCATGGTAGGTAGAGCAGAGATTGCTGCTTTGTAACTGCTCTTAAGAGTTAATTACCTTTGAAAGCTGAAATGAAAGCGGGAAACTACCATTATGAGAATCTACAAGTAAGATTCATGTGAATTTTGCTACAGATGGCAGGTAGACTGTTAACTGCTCTGTTGAAAACTGAAATTAACCTGTTCCTGCATAAGGAGGATTTTTGTATCTTCAGAGTTATTCATGTTTTTCTTAAGAAGTGCATGTGGCTCTTATCCTCGCCTTTTGTTGACTCATGCTGATGCTCTCCTTTTGTCTCTGACAGAAAGACTTGAGGCCAAGGACTCAAGTCCTTACAGTGCAGTCAGTAAAAGAGAGACAGTTCTTAAAATATCTCAGACAAAATACCCCTAAAGATCTCGCTCTTGTGGAAATCTAGTTGACTGAGCTTTGCTGTGTTTGGTGCCAGTTAGGTGCACGTGGAAATTCAGAAGAAAGTTTTTCCTGGCCCTTCCTTGAGAGTGAAGTATCTCCACTTTGAGACGAAATAGCTCCATGTTGAGCTACCTCGCACATGCCTTGCCTACAGAAGCTGCTTTCTGGGTTGAGATTGTGGGGAAGCAAACATCCCTACAAAAAGGGAGAGAGCGGTTATCCAGGTTATACGGGTCCTGGGCTGGTGCAGGAATGTGAAGCCTTAGAACAGCTTGTTCTAAGTAAGTGCACACGTTCTCTGGTGAAATCGGAGCACTGCCTTTCTCAAGCAAGTGCTCTGTTTCATTCGCAAGTGGTCGATAAAGCGCGAGTCATTTGGTCAGCGTTACGACCTTGAGTGTGCCAGAAGATCTAACCCTAAATTTCTAAATTTTGAAGTTGCCCAGGGAACGCATCTCTTCAGATCCCTGACAGTGTTGGTGTCCTGGTGCAGCTGGCGTTTTGCCGAGATTCTCTGTGTTCAGAAGTGGCATCTTCTGAAACAAAAACTGCAGTTCCACAGTGCTATTTAATTTGGAGGGGGCAAATGTGTGACTAGTTCTTTGATTACATAGCCAGAACTGAACATAATTATTACATGAAGGTATTACGAATGTCACAATGACGCTTCTCCCCCACTTAACCGTATGGTCAAAAGTGCAAACTTGGTTTTGGAATTTTCTGTCCTACCCTTAATGTGGAGAAGTTTGGCCTACAAGGAAGCTGGAAGAAGACTTTTTACACGGGCCTGTAGTGACAGGACAAGGGGTAATGGGTTTAAATTGAAAGTGGGGAGGTTTAGATTAGATGTCAGGAAGAAGTTCTTCCTGGAGAGGGTGGTGAAACACTGGAACAGGTTGCCCAGAGAAGCTGTGGATGCCCCATCCCTGGAAGTGTTCAAGGCCAGGCTGGATGAGGCTTTGAGCAACCTGGTCTAGTGGAAGGTGTCCCTGCCCATGGCAGGGGGGGTGGAAGTAGATGGGCTTTTAGGTCCCTTCCAACCCAAACCATTCTGTGATTCTAAATTTTTGAAGTGGCTGGAAGTCTAGGGTTAATGGGAATTCCCTTAGCTGGTGATAGGAGTGGCATCATTCCTGCAGTGCATGTATTGTAGAACCATAGGTTCTTTTCACACCTGAATGTAATGTGAGTGTTCTTCATAAAGGAGAAAAAAAAACCCCAAACTAACTTCTTTGTTTGCCCATGCTGTGAAAAAACGAGCAGCAAGCAGGAAATGCATATTTGTGCAAATTGTTTAGGGGAAATTACAGTAAAATATTTTAAGGCTGTTATTTTTGCTGTAAAATATCCTCTGTAGAATAGGAAGCATGGTGAGCGCCAAAGGGGAGGAAGAATTTGCTGTCACACACGCTCACTGTCTGTATAGGTCACTGCAGTGTTGCTGTATCCCAGGTTTCAAGCCTGAATTATAAGCTGCTGCTCAGTGTGTTTCTTCTGAACACTGTACCTTAATGAATCTACCTTAATGAATTATGCACTTTCTATATATTCAGTTGTTTTAAGAGGCATTTTTGGTGGATCACATGCTTCATTCTAGAAGTGTGGTTTGTGAGGCAAATAAGACAGAAATGAAATGTTTAGCTTTTTTCTATGGGGATGATAATAAAATAACAATATCAAATAGGAAGGCGAGTGATGCATACTAGTAATCAAATAAGGATACTGTGTGGAAAATAACTCGTGATACAAGAATAAATTATTCAGGGGAGAACTGAATTTTCATGGGATTTATAATTTTGCTTTGGAGGCTTTTTGCATCGAGCCTCTGAAATCTGCTGTTTTGTCTGTAAGCATGGCAGCTGGATTTGAAAATGCTCCTGCATTTGTCTGGGAGAATTACATCTTGCATAATGCATAACTAGCTAGCGCTGGGCTAATTGTTGCCATTTTAAAAGCAGTTGATAACATTGTATGCATAAGAATACAGTATTTCTAAAACATTTTGTTAATATTTGATGATGTTTATTAAAACATGACTGTTATTTCTGATATGATTTGCAGATGATTATTTTACAGTGGTCCTATATTGATGGCTGCAAATATTACCTCTTACAGTAGATCACAAACATGATACTGTTTTTTAGAGCATAAGTCTATCATATATATGCCTTTTATTGTCTGGTTTGAAAGCTGCAATCTCTGCTAAGTATTGTAAAATTGTTTTAGGAAGAGCTTTATTCCAAAAAGGATGTCTGAATAGACAAATTGCATTGTCTTATAGTAAACATGCTTTTTATTTTTCCTCTCTTAGCCACAAAGAAATTGGGTTCCAAATATGCAGCAAGCAAAAGTGGGATGCGGTGGGGTTTCCGTTCTCAGAGCCTCACCAGGGATTCTCCTGCAAAAGACATAGATCTTGTTACAAAAAGAGTTCTTTCAGCTAGGCTGCTGAAAATCAATGAGCTCCGAAATGAACTGACTGAACTCCACATCAAACTCGATGAGCTGCAGAAGGAAAACAGGGCACTGAAGAGGCTTCAGCACAGGCAGGAGAAAGCCTTGAATAAGTTTGAAGATACAGAAAACGAAATCTCTCAGCTCCTTGCACGGCACAACAATGAGATTAGAATATTAAGGGAGCGCCTACGAAAATCTCAAGAGCGAGAACGTGCAACCGAGCGACGGCTGAAAGATTCAGAAGATGAACTGTACAGGACGAAAACTGCCTTGCAGAAACTGAAAAAGCTGTCTGCAGATAAGCACCTTGCTGAAAGAGATGACCTGGCAAAGAAACTGGCCTATGCAGAGAGCAGGCTAGGGGACAGTGAAAAAAGAATTAAGGTGAGATGACTTTCCTTTTGGAAGAAATTCTCATACAGATATTTCTTACTATAGTCAGCTTCATGATTTGTGTTTTTTCACAGCAAATAGAAAATGATTTTTTTTTTACACCTAAATAGCATCAAATAAATTATTTCCGAGGTGATTATATAGTTACATATTTAGTAGTTATGCATTCAAAATTCTGTTTACAAATTAAACAGATTTTGTCAGAATACATTCTGTGAACTTGTGATTTTATAACTAGTAATAACATTTCAGAAATGCATTCAGCTATAATACAACTTCATGCAATCTAATTTATCCTTTTGGAGGGGAAGCATTTGTTAAAAATTTTCTGTGTATTTAGGGAACTGTATACTAAAATCCTAAAACACATATACATAGTAATTCTTTTTCAATTCTGTGAACTACATTTATGCAATGGTTGATTGTCCACTATTCTGCACATCTGAGAGCTGAGCTGCACAAAATTACAGCACTTCTTTTAATACCATAAATGAGCTTTAGAACATTCTACGGGTGTCCATTTTAAGAATTTTGTGAAATATGTTTTAATTTTGTTCAGCAAAAAAGTCTACGTTTTTGTAAGTGTGTCTAAACATATCTACATTGTAAACACGTCTAAAACCTCATCTTAATTAAAAATAATTGTGTTAACACTATTAATCTGTTGGTAGTTGTATGCAATACTATTTTTAGATGAAATTATATTGGTCATTAAAATGGTGTTAAAGTTTGGTGTTTATGTTAGTAATTAAACCTAAAGTACATTACAGAGATAATAGATCTGGAAATCCAAAGGATTAAGCTGGAAACTAAGCTTTCATAAAACAAATCCCAAAATACCAAGATATAAACTGCCGAGTTACCCAAATCATCTCACCCTGTTGTTTCACCATCTGGCATCTGTGGTTTTATGATCAGGTATTTCAGGATTTGTAGCACTGGATAATGTTAAAATGAATTATGCTGTAGGAAGTAAGGGATTTTCTACTTTTTTTTTTTTTTCCTTCTTTCATCACAGGATCACTTAAAACAGCCATTTCAAGGTGAGGGTCTATAAATGAAATTGCAAATTTGGTTGCAGGAGAAACGTTAAAAACTATTGCTTGTCTTCTTCATTCTAATCTTGAACTTTCAGGGAGGTTTGAGATTTGTCTTAAGAGATCTGGAGGTCCACTGTGCCAAGAGCCTTGCAGAAAGTAGTGTGTGTTCCCCTTATGTCCTCAAATCACCTCTAAGTGCTCCAGAAGGATGAGCTGCAGCATCTGCAGGGGCCCTGTCTGTCCCCTCAAAGTTCTGGTTAAGGGTTTACATGTGTTCAGTGTTTTCACAGTGGTGGAGCTGATATCTGAATCCAAGGTGCTGGTTTACTGTAATTTTACTTAATTTGACTGTAAGAAAAGGACTTCAGTTACTAAAAAAATATTGGTTTAATTGCAGGATCTGGAAAAAAATCTTGAATTAAGTGGTAGCAGTTTTCAACGAGAGTTACATTCAAAGAAAAAAAAGGTGCATGAGGCTCAAGAAGAAAACAGAGTTCTCCAAGAAGAGCTTCACCAGCTAAATCAGAAGCTGAAGGTAAAATGTGAAGCAATACAAGTTGCTAACCACGTTCTGGCATTTTATCTTTGGAAGTATCTCTAGCCAGGTTTGAATAGTTTACCAGTGACTGCACTCTGATGTGTACTTAATTATATACCACATGTGAGCTCTTTTCCTGCCTTAAATTGAAATGCTCTGTGCTCTGACCCTACGGTGCTTATAACAGGAATGTCTCTATGTTAATCATTATTGCTAGCACTGGTTAAGAAAAGCGAGTTCAAGTACGTAACCAAGCATTGTGATTAAATCACAAGATCTACTGGAAAATTAGGTTTTGAAGGCTTGATTTTTAAAATTAAATCTGCAGGGACGTGCAGTACTTTCTTACTAATGTACTTGCATTACAGTGTGTTTATGTAAAGATCAATTTCATGTATTTGGGATGTCCATGTGTTGCTACATTTGTGCAAAGGTTTATTTGCACACACCCCCACCCCCTTGTTGCCCAAGCTCTAAATTTAAGGGCAGAAATATTATGTTCTACCTAGTCAGTTTAGGGAATGGGGGGGAACCCAAAAAACCCCCCAAGCCCCAAACCTTGAGCTAAAGTACTTAATTTCTAGGAGAATTTCCTTGAAACCCCAAGTCTCAAGCATACTTTTATAATAGAGATGCACCAGTTTATCACCTTACTAAGCTTTCAAGCAAATAGCAATAGTGTTAGTAACTCAAAAACTTCCTTACTTAGAGTATTTTAAGCCTGTTTTGTTAGTAGAGAGTTTAGTATTTTGAAAATATTTTCGTTACAAGATGAATTCCAATAACTCACTGTTCATTTCTGTACTTTAATCAATAAATGGGACAAAAGAAGGGTGTGTCTCTACCTCTCTGATGCAGTGGGCCTCTGCTCCTTGGTACTGATATGCTCTGTGACCAGTAACATTGGTTAAACGTGGAAATGTTTAACCCTCTACAGTACTGAAATTTTGGATGTGCAATCTATACACACATTGTAAGTCTTATTCAAGTTTATGGAAGCACTGGCTTTTAGTTTTATTTTCACTGCAGACATGCTTTCCCCCCCCCCGAATATTTTGCTAATGAGATTTTTGGGAGAAAGTTCTATCCACTTTCTTACAGCGTAAGCAAAGTTAGGAATGTGGTTGTTCTCCTTGACACATTGGATACAACTATTGATGACTTACTCTGTTTCTATTTAAAACCCGTATTTTTGATTTGATTTATAGCTTTCCTAATGACTTGTAAATGAAATGTTAGAACTGGTTGTTATACCTACCTCTTTCATTCACAGGAAAAAGAAAGAGAACTGGAAGCAAAAAATATATATGCTAATCGTATGTTGAAGCTATCACCAAGAAAAGACATGGATATTATACAAAGAAAAAGAGGTAACTCACATAAAGCAATAAGGGCAGAAAAATAAATAGCTAAGTGAGATCATTCATGCCCTTCAGTGCTTGACCCTACCACTGCCTGCTCAAGGATGTTTACTTTTTGGCACTGGTTTCAGCACAGCACTGGTTGTGAAGAAGGGCGCAGTGTTTGTCTGACTGCTCTGTAACTGCAGCAGAACCAAAACCCAGGACTTCATCAGAGAGTGTCCTTACCACCTCTCATTCCAGTCCTTCCTGGGTGAAGGAGGAGGGGAAGATTGTTCGGTACGTTCTCTAACAGACCATAAATAATGACCATGTGACAATAAATTACAGAAGTTTTAGAAATATGTAAGTTCGCTGCTGTAAATGTTTTGGTGACGTTTTTATTTGTTTTTCACTAATTCAAGTTTTCTGTCTGTCAGACGAGCTGCACTTTTTTTCTCCTCAAAGGGTACATATGTCCCAGAACATAATCTTCTAAATGTATCGGTGCAGTGATTTCTTCTGGTGTGACAAGGCAGCCTCAAGCCTTATGCTACCCACATAAATATGTGTGTATATATGTGTGTCTCTGTGTGTACTTAGACTCTTTCCGCTGGATCAGTAAAATATACTTGTCAGGAGAAGCAGGAATTTATGGGACTGTGTTAAATATTTAACGCCAGCTTTTCAAACAGTTTGTCTGCTGCTCATTTTATTATAGATACTCTACAATCATTCAATTTTAGGTTCATGTTTTTAAAACAGAGATAGGTGTATGTCTTTTAAAGATGCAAATGAGTGAATTTTAATTTTATGAGTTTGCTTTTCTACATGTAGCTTCTGTGACAAGCAGTAAGATGACTGAGATATTTTGTGGGGATTTTTAAACAACATTCAGTACACTGTAATGATTTTATAAGTATCTTTAAGGTGTTATTTTTCATTTATTTTTCAGTGGAAGTTTTGCATGATTTTTTTTTTAATTAGCTTTTACAGATGCTGAAAACAACTGTGTGAAACTTGTAAATACTTTTCACTTCTATTGGCTCCAATAGTGTCTTCTATGTTTGCTGCAAATCGTTAAAAATGAGAGATCAGTGTATAGGGGGATATTTTAAAGTTAAAACATGATTTAATTAGTTTGTATTTTCTACAGCAAACAATCAAAATATTAAAAAAGGAGCACAGGTCACAAAAGGTGTACAGACCAGTGGATACTTCTCACCAGTAGAATTTCTTCCAGAATCAGAACTTGTCTATGGTGACACGGTTAACAAGAAAGAAGTGATTCTTCCAAAAATAGTGAGTTCCTTAAGAATTTTATACTTGCTCCAGATAACTGACCAATCAGACTGAGTGCTTAATGAGCTTATATTTTAGAAAATATGTGTAAATATACAAATATGAGCTTGTATTTTAGAAAATGTGTGTAAATATACAAATATAAATCTAGAGAAAATATAAATTAGAAAACATTCTGACTTTTGAGAGAAACTCTACCTTTCCAGAAGGGTCATACTCCATTTTTGTGACATGCAGTTCATCACATTCTGTGCCTTACTGATAACCATTAGCTCCGTTGGTTTCTTGTTCTGCCACTGTCATTTCTTTGAAGTTTCAAAGACTTCACTCTGCTCAAATAAGCATTAGAAATAAAAGAAAGGGAAGAAAACCAATCTGTTGTAACAGTGCTGGCTGCCTTGTCTGCTTTGGTCTTAATTATGGTTTCTTTTACTTTCCAGATTTATTTCACAACGCATAAATCTAACACTTCCTCTTATTGTCACAGTGCTGGTATTTCTTCTGTCGTTTTTCCAGCTTCGTGAATATGGTTGGATTTTTTGTTTCCCCATTTCCCTTTTCATTATAAAATATTCCCATTAGAAGTATTGCTAATACTTCTGTGACCTCAGGCTAAAATCAAAGAGATTTGTAAGGTATTACAGATCAGAACGACAGATTCTGGTACAAGTTGTACAAATTCCGATTACATAAGGCTAGGACTTTGTGTTCAGAAATCTGGCTTCCTGGTAGGACTGAAGCTTTTTCATGGCTGTTTCATTCATATGTTCTGTCTCCCAAAGCCCCTTCTTTAACTGTGGATGCAGTTTAACGTATGCATTCTTCCAGCATCTACTTCGGTGGGCGTTACAGAACTGCACAGTTGGTGCAAGTACAGCTCATGGAGTCCAACTGCACGTCATCGTACAGGTCTCTCCAGTTTCTGTACGGCTGTTGCTTTAAGTAATGTAAATCACATTTGGGCAACCTGTGCTTTCATCAGTTTTCTAAATCAAGTCCTTTAAATACTTCACCGCCATCTCCTTATGAAGTTGGTTTTTTGGGGTTTTTTTTTACACATAATCTTGTACATGGAGGGAAAATACTTGAAGTTGTTTTGGCTAATAGTCTCATTTTCTTTGTTCATGAAGTGGCAACTATTTCTCTTAGAAATGTATTTTAATCTAGAAGCTTATTTTACTCTAAAATAAGCACAAGCTACAAAGTTAGCACCCACATGTTGGATTAGGCTCGCTTTCTCTTTACTACATTGCCACTACTCTTCTGTGTTAGTGATTTTTACTGCTGACATTGTTACCTTTTCTGCAGGTGCTTTCCTTTGAAATGTGTATGTATACTTACTAGCTGAATTTTTCAGCCAAGATTAAACCTTTCTCTTTCAGTGTTTGTTACTTAGTGGTGCTTAAAGTTAAGGAGTACTGTGAAACAGTTGGAATCTACGAACCACTCCCTTGAGTAAAAAAGATTTGGTTGTGGCAACAGAGAGTAACTGTTTACTTGTTAAAAGAATAAGGTGGTGAGGTCTGGCCTTCTGTTTAAGTCCTTGAAAAAGACAACTTCTGACTTCTAAAGAGAACTACCTTAACACTGTGAGAATTCCAGTACCTGTAGCCTTCCAGTACCTGAAGGGGCCTACACGGAATCTGGGGGGGACTTCTTACAAGGGCCTGTAGTGACAGGACAAGGGGTAATGGGTTTAAATTGAAAGTGGGGAGGTTTAGATTAGATATCAGGAAGAAGTTCTTCCCGGAGAGGGTGGTGAGGCACTGGAACAGGTTGCCCAGAGAAGCTGTGGATGCCCCATCCCTCGAAGTGTTCAAGGCCAGGCTGGCTGAGGCTTTGAGCAACCTGGTCTAGTGGAAGGTGTCCCTGCCCATGGCAGGGGGGGTGGAACTAGATGGTCTTTAAGGTCCCTTCCAACCCAAACAATTCTATGATTCTAATTCCGCTTTATGACATAGAATCATAGAATCAGATTCCATGAAACATCAGAAACATCAGAGCTGCAACTTTCCCCTGACATGTGCGCAACAGAATAGAGTCGATTGTCTGTTCATCTTGTCTCAGGTCCATAAAACTATGCTTGAGGTGATAAGATCTTAGGGCCAAACCCCTGCATTGTCAGCACTGATTTGGTTTAGATGACTTGCTCATTTTTATGTTTAGCAGTAAGAATGTGATTTCAGAATGACACAGAAATTTCTATGGTTTTTTTGTTAGTTGTTTTTATTGGTGTTTTTTTTCCCCATCAGTTTCAGTTTTGTATTAATTTATTTCAGGAGAAAGAAACTCAAGACAAAGGATGGAAAGAGCAAGCAGACCTCCTAAGACAAGACCAAGACAGGGAAAGGGAAGAGAAACTGAAACGTTTTCAGGAAATACAGGCTTTAGAGGAGAGGGTTCAAAAACTTCATGATGGTAAGGAAACAGACAGCTGAAGGCTGGAAAATGCACCATAGAATGCTAATCGAGTGAGGCTGCTAGTTTCTTGTGAGAAGAGCAAAATGATTTTGCAGAGATCACTACAGTGGAAAATTATTTTAGTTATATTATGCAAAAAGAATCAGAAAGAAATACGGGGTATAGAATCATCTGTGCCCTGTACTCAGCTGTGATTAAATAGGCAGCAGCAAAAAATGCTGTCCCTGAAAAAGTATTGCAGCTTGAGAGATTTTTGCTTTACAAAACAAGGGTGACATAGCAGGTAAGTGCTGATGTTATCTCTGACTTGCTAGGTGTTATTGAGGTAGGCAGTCGATTTTTACTATTGTGGAACAAATCTGCTTTCCTTAATATGGCCTGTTTTTTCAGTACATATCTTCTTCACTTGTATCATCTGAAACTGTAGTTTCTCTTTTAATTTGTGGTTATCTCAGTCATTTGGTGTGGCTATTGGAGAAATTTCAGTTTATATAATTATATTTTAATACTGCTTTTTTATTGATTTGGTTTTTTCATAGCATCTTAATGACTTATTAATATAAGTCTCTTAATCTAAAGTATTTTATCAGTACATATCTTCTTCACTTGTATCATCTGAAACTGTAGTTTCTCTTTTAATTTGTGGTTATCTCAGTCATTTGGTGTGGCTATTGGAGAAATTTCAGTTTATATAATTATATTTTAATACTGCTTTTTTATTGATTTGGTTTTTTCATAGCATCTTAATGACTTATTAATATAAGTCTCTTAATCTAAAGTATTTTAGTTGA